CTGCTGACCTTTTGGGTGACAGTGGATGTAAAAACCTTATTTCAAAGGCTTATCTCAATAATTTTGAAATGTTCTGCCCAACTTCTTGTCAGGTCTATTGAAGTATCATTATTTTTATCTGTAATTTGGCTGACAAAAGGCTAGTACTAGAAGTAGAATTGTCAGCTCTACCATTTTCTTGTTCACTTGCACTTGTGAACAATATTTCCCAAACAAGAAATATTGCTAAGTCTTCTTTACAGAAGTCATTAGGTCACATCCACTTCACAAGGGTTAGTTTAGTTAAACTAGGTAATATCCATAAACTCATTTAACTGCAGCCATAAGCTGGATTAACTGCCATTTGCTTAAAGTGGAAAAACAAGTGAGAGGACTATTGTCGATCCTCTCACTTTCCCTAAGAACACTTGTGTATGACCTGCTAAGTGAGGGTACAGCATCAAGCCATTTAAATACCTGTATCAGTAAAGCTTTATTTCTTCCTTTTCTTATACAAAAAAATAAATATAATTAACAGCTCTAATCTATCTTCTCTTTCTCCATGAGAGTTTTGGGTACTCACCTTTGGGAGTATTTAAATATTCTTGAAACCCTAGCCAGCCGGACTCGATCAGTCTCTCAAGTGCTTTCCAGATTAGGATTGAATTTGAAGCCAGAACTAATTTCCCATAGTCACCTCAGGTCAAATAAGATTCTAAGGGTCTCATGATCTGGGCCTTTACCCAAAATCTGATCCAAAACCAACCTTCAAAGATGGACAAGTATAATCTTTCCAGAATAATCACCCTAAAACACTTTACAAAAATTATGAAGAACAGTTATAGCTTCCTGTCTTAGACAACATTCATTCACTCACTTAAGAAACATCTGTGTCAGGCATCTCACTGACACAATCATTTGCAAGTACTATCTTAAATACACTATACTGTACTTTCATCTGTGGGAGAAGTGCCTGAAAGAAAACGTGTGGTTTGTGCCCCATCGGGTGGCCAAACTGGAAATTTCAAACAAGTTCCAGCAAGGCAATTTAACCCTAACTAATCAACATAATAGGGTCGCTATGAGTCGGAACTGACTCGACAGCAGTGGGTTGGATCATGTTATTAATAATATTCTTTTAAATTATGTCCTCTTTATCTATCAAATATAATTAAAATCACAAAAAAGGCACAGAAATTTAAAGCTGGATGGTCCTTAGAAAATACGGGGCTGTGAGTTTAGAAACCATCAAATCCAGTCCTCTCAGTCTTCAGATGAAGAACCTAAAACCCAGAAAGAGGAAGTGATTTCATCAGGGTCACACAGCTAGTGTGTGTGACCCCAATGATTACACATCCAATGCTCAAGAGACTAACTATATATATGATCTTGGACAAGTGACTTAACCTTTCTAGACTTCAGATTCCTTGCCTGAAAAAACAAGGAGGGAGATAATCTCTAAATTCCCTGTCTGCTCTAAAATCCTGTAATTTACAGACCTCATTATTTTAGTATCTTGCAAAACTATAGTATACACTAAAAAAACCACTCCTGGTTCCTGAAGAACCAAAGAAGCATAAGTCCCTAGGGAAGAAAACACAAGTCAGCATCAATATATTTGCTGCTTTGGCTAATATTCTGTAAAATGTTCTATACAGTCTATTTGGTATTAATTGGTCTAAGTTAATTTTGATTAATCAACTACAAGCTCTAAAATATACAAAATACACTGACTGTAAATTTTTTTAAAAAGTGTTCTTATAAAGATTTATTGATGCTGTATCGTAAATGTCAAGATTTACACTCAAACAGATTACTGGAGACAGGGACAGTCTCTGCTCATTTATGTTTATTCTTTGTAAATATTATTCACAAACTTGGATCAAATAGATTTTCTTTATGTGGTTTCTTCATACTTCTCTATTCTTTCATGCTTTATTATTCTGCCTATGAAGACTGAGTCTATGAACTCCACAACCTATTTTCAAATTAAAAACTATATAAATTTTCTGGATATTGATGGCTCAGTAGCATTAAAAAAAATTAATAATCCAAGGAATAACAACCATTAGAAGTTAAATCAAAGAACCTATGAACTAGAGTGGATCTTGAACGCTCTGGCCCTATATTCTTATTTTATGGAACAAGAAAGAGGCCTAGAAAGGCAAAAAGATTGTCCCCAGGGTTTCACGGTTAACTTATAAAAAAATCAGCACTTATCATATAACTATGTATACATAACATTACATATAATTATAGACGTATAACAAAATTTTCAGTTCTAATGCTCCATTTATTTCAAGTAATACTTAATACAGCAAAATGACAAAAAACAAAGAATCTGAACTGTTCAGAATGGTTCACAGTACTGGAAAGCACCATAGGCTAAAAATCAGGAGTAATACACCAAAATTTCACCACCACTGCCTGAAACACAAATTCAAGTCTTTGCTGTACTAAGAATGTTTTAGCAGCATCATCTTCATATAGCTGGACTACATACTATTGCATTATGAAAGGTTGTTTTCTCTAGCAAAGGCTAATACATCTCTTACGTGTATCTTTTTTTTCTCCAAAGTTTTTAAACTGTCAAAATTCCTGGGCTCTAAACACTCTTATTTATGCTGCTTTGTTATTTTTAAAGGAACACCACCAACTCTTGAGAAACAATACACAACACACAGATTCCAACCCTATAAGCATTTCTTTAACGGCTCCAACTCACAGAGAAAAGTGCCTCCCACTTAATTTTGCCTACTAAACAACGAGCTCAGGAGTCACATAGTAGGGAATCTCTGCAGAATCAAATTTCAATTATCCACAATAAATGAAATTTTCAAAAAGCAATTTATAATTGGCCAGGGCAAGATAATTCAGTCACACATATGCTCAGGAATTTTGTACCTCTGCAACCAACCTAGAGTAACCATTAGGGTTAGTACCCAAATGGACTATGTGAATGAAGAGTCCCAGGGTCACTGTGGTTACTCCAATCACAAAGCTAACATTACAAATCAAGAGGTAATTGCATTTCCAAACTAAATCCATATGCTTCCCCTTCCAGTCTCAAATATTCTAGATTAACACAATTCTATGAAACAGTTAAGTGCTGTAATACTTAAAATGAATCACAGCATACATCCAACCACTATTACTTCTGCCCAAATCAAGCACAGCATACCATATAACAAGTACAAGATGTTGCTTCAGTGTGTTTATGTCCTATGCTTCCAGGAAGAACTGGCAGTGGTGCTGAAAATTACTACTAGAATGATGAAAGACTGATACTCTTCTTTCAATAAAAACCATCATCTGGACTCTAGCCAAGATTTTAAAACTGACTGAATATTATTAGAAACAATAAGTCAAAAACTCTACAGCCTGAAATGCCAGTTCCTTACTATTTCATTCTTATTTACAAAATGTGGCCATAAAACATTCTAAGAAAATTAAATGACAAGAAAGCACTAATAATTCTAGGCCCTTCATTTCTGGCAATAATAAAAAAAACTATATATTACATGTGAGTTTATTTTACAATCTTTAAGGTTTTGTTTAACCTACCTACATTCCTTTCCCTATCTCCTTCAATTATTACAATGACTACATGAATAAATAAACTCACTGCTATTGCCAAAACGTCCTTATCACTGAACTTAAATAAATATAAACAGAAGACTAAAACAGTTTAATTCACAAAATCTAGCTAGCATATGTGTCTTCATATTCGTTTTATACTCTTTGTTCCTGCACATAACATACATGTGAATTCCTGGAGGTTACAGATAAGTCTTTCTCTATCCAGGAGCTGAACAGCCAGCTACTGAGAATAACCTATTACAATGTTTAAAGAAAGCCCTCTAGGTATCTTGCCTTCTAAATATATAAATGAGTTCATTATCTTTACTTTTTCCTGAATTAATGTAAGGTAATGGCACGTTCCTTATCGCCATCTATTAAATATCCTCCAAGAGCTGTTATCACGGAAATTGGGCAGGGGAAAGAGGAAAAGAGATAGCATGAATTCTGTAATACATAGGGACATTTTAAAAGTACATTGTTTAATTTAAAAAAAAGTTTTCATCTAGCCAATCAAATCTATAAGGCCTTTTATTTTGAAATATGCTAATCACAGACCATTTTGAAATGATATTAAATGAAAAATTTGCAAGATAAAAAAGTACACTGTTTACAATATAGTAATTTTCTCCCTAGCAAACAAGAATTTTAGGAAATAAAACCTGAAAATTTTAACAGTTCTCCTCTTCTGTCCTTCATCTCCCTTCACACCATTCCAAAACAAGAGAAGAGCCAAAACCAAAGATGTGATTACTTTGTATACCTCAATCAGTAAAAAGACAAGTCGCCGTCCTTTTATCAAAACAGAACAGTTTATCACAATATGTTTGCACAGTGTAATCACTATGCAATATATATTTAAATAAAGTTTCAACCCGGTTACAAAGCCTTTGTCAACAGTGGGCAAATAGGAAAAAGACGAAGGGCTCTGTGGAACGAAGGACTCGGAGGAAATTACCGGAGGGGCTTATCTCGGAAACGGAGGATTCCCTGGTAAGAGGTGAGCAGAGAGAAACAAAACCTAACGTTGGCAAGGGGGCGCTCGCCCAGGGTGGGGACGAGAGGTCAGAGTGAGTGGGAAGAAGGGGATTTAGCGCGGAACCGCCGCGACCCAGGGCTGCCTTCGCACCCGCGACTACCCCACCTGGGCTCACCCTCCCACCACCATTCCCCACCCCGGGCCGGGGCTGTGCCCTTTCCTCCCGGTCCGCCGCCTGCATATCCGTTACCTCGGCGGCAGCGGGGCTGCGGGGGAGGGGGAGGGCAGCGGGGCCCGGAGGGGGACTGCCGCGGAGGAGATGCCGCAGTGCCTCCCCGCCGCACCGGGTCAGAGTCCACCAAAGCGCCGGGAAGCAGCACCAGCGGAAAACAGCGGTGGAGGTCGGGACCGGGCGAGAGGGTGGCCCCTCTGAATCCCCCCATACCCCGGCCGCCGCTGGTACCTCATACTGGATGTACTGCTTCCTCCACTCGGGAGTGATGTGCGCGGAGAGGTGCTCGGCGAACTTCATTCTGCCGTTTCCCCCTTACGCCCACTCGGGTCCAGCAGCTACTGGCGGCGGCGGCGGCAACAGCGACTCCGACTCCTCCCCACATGGGCCCCGGCGCGGCGCTGCGCTGCGCTTCTCTCCTCCTCCGCCGCCGCCGAGGTCTCCTCAGAGCCGCCCTCCCGCCATCTTCCTCCTCCTCTCCATAGCCCCGCCCCGCCCCGCCCTCCAGACGTCATCCCCATGGTAACCGCCTACGCCGCACCGACGGAAGGGGGCGGGGTAAAGGACGGGGTAAAGGGCGGGGTAAGGGGCGGGATGGGGGGGGGGTGGACATTCCTTAAGACCCCGCCTCTTCGGGGCCGAACATGCTGGAGGCACCTCCCCTAACTGCTTTCGTCTGGTTCCTGTAAGCTTTAAAACTGCTCTCTACCTCCTGTCTGGGAAACAGCAGTGTTGTTATTGCAATTAATATTAATACCTAGCAACAGTAATCCACACAAGACGTTTATATTTGCAAAGAACTGTACAAGTATTTTTTCATTTGAATATTCTTCAAAAAATCCTTAAGGATAGATCAGCATTAATTACAAATTGAGTAGCTAAAACAGACGAAGTATTTAAGACCCAAATGTATTTAAAGAAATGTTATTTTGTGGGCTCTAGGTGCTCAATAAATGCTTGTTGACTTCAATTAAAGATGTCAGTGCCAAAAATTGCATGCTGCTACTGAATGTCAATGTAATTGTCTAGTCTGGAGGGTGCGAGTGGATACTAGAAAGGACAATAACAACACTTGGACCCAAGCCAGGACCGGGGAGTACCAACTGGACTTGTGACTGAGCTTCCTGTGGGCTAGGAGCTGAGAGGGAAATCAATGTTGGGAGGAAGGAGAGTCTCCTAGAGGACTGTAGGGAGACCAGAAATGGGCCCAGCCTCCAGGCTAAACTATCCTTGGGGAGCATGAGAAATAGATCACCCACACAGCTAGGCACTAGTTGAGTGTGAGAAAGGTTGGTCTGAAGAATCTGATTTGGGACAGAAACCCAGGTCCCACCCTGGATGGAGGAGCCCTGGATAATAATAGTTAATATTTATTGAGGAAGAAAGACCTGGTGATCTACTTCTGAAAATTAGCCCATGAAAACTCTATGGATTACAACAGTCCAATCCCGTTGTGCACGGGGTCAGTATGAGTAGGGGACCTACTTGACAGCAGCTAACAACAACAACAGAACATTTATTGAGCACTCACTGTCCATGTACTAAGCACTATTTTAAACTCCTTGCATGTACCTTGTCCTTTAATTCTCACAATTTTGATGAGTTTACTAGGGAACTACTGTGACTGGGACAGTATTCTGAGATATCAGACTGTGCTGTTGGCTTTTTTTCTTCCATGTATTTTTCCTTTTTCCTTCTCCCTTAATTCATGCCAGTAGGGGTTTGCAACTGTTTCCTTGGGGGAGAAATACAAAATAGGCATAACCTATGAGTCTTTCTGGCTTTTGTTTTACAAAAGCCTAAACTCCTGGTGAAAGGTTAACCGGGGTCAAAAATAAAAATAAAAAAAGAACTCCCCTCACCTCAGCCTCATGTCAGACTGCCCCACCATAAAGATTCCCCTCTACTGAAGGTAAATGTTGCTGGAAAAGAGATAAACACATGTGTAGAGAGAGCTCTGCCGCCAGGAAGGAGTCACAACTGCAGAGAGGAAACCACTGCATGGTGTGCCTAGGAAGACAGAACTAGGGACAGCTGCAGAGAGATTTCAGGGCCTTTAGTCAGACATGGAAGTAGCAGAAGCTTCCAGCACTACAGATCTGGGACTGGAATAGTGGGCTCCTGGCAGCAACCCTCGTAGACCATAGCATGGTCTTCACACCCCTGCTCCCAGCAGCACTGTACTTTCATGCCTTAACACTGCACAACTCTGGCCCAACACTGGCAAGTAAAGGAAATCCTCAACAGTAGCTCTGAAAACAATAATACTTATTTTTTCCCAATCCTGATCCAGAGCCCTGCCACTCAGTTGGACATGAAAATGTTACTTTATCCACTGAAGTAGATTTAATAAGTTTCCTTGTTCCCAGCATTATTTACAATAATGGAGCCTCACTGACAGAACCATCAAATATTTGGTATTTATTGAACAGAGCACTCTGCTGGGTACTATGAATGATAATCTGAATAGTTTCACTCTAAATCAGGAGGGGCCCGTGCCTTAGACTTTCTTTTGTTTTTAGGCAAATCGTTCTTCATTTAATAAAACTTTATTGAGTATCTGTGATATTCCAGTCATGCCACTATGGGGATGAAGGACGGTTTAAAAATAAATAAGACTCTGTCTTTTTCCTAGAGGAAATCACAGTCTAGTCAAAAAGGCAGGCAGATAAACCAATAGCTAGACTGTAGTGCGATACTTGCTGTAACTGAGGTATATGCAGGGAAATAACCATCCAACCAGGAAGTAAAGGATGACATCAGAGAAGGTGGTTTTGAAATCCCATCTTAGACAACAATCTGACAGGGAGAAAGACACCCCAAGGGTCTCAAAGGCAAAAAGCAAGAGCTAGGGTGTTTTGCAAGAAGTCAGAATTGTTAAAGAATGGCAAGAAGCAGTCTGACTGGATTATCCTTTAAGGCAGCTAAATGCCCTCCTCAAAGAAACTGCCTGCTCCCTACCCTCCCCAACCCATTCTGAGTAGGTTGACCCTCTTCCAGCTTCCACATTATGGTGGTGCACAGTCCTTACTGTATTGTCAATAATAATTTGTGTCAGAGACTATGAGCTCCTTGAAGACAGGTTGCTTATTTCTCTTGTTTTCTCCAATATAGCAAGATGCCTGGCACTCAGGTATTCTGTAAGTGTTGAAGGAATACAGGAGAGAAGAAAGGAAGGAAGGAAAAGATGGAGGGAAGGAGGAAGGGAGAGGGGGAAGGAAGGAGGGTGAGAGAGGGAAGGAAGAAGGAAAGGGCAGGGCACATGGAGAGAAGTTGTAGGAAATAAAGTTGGAACAAGATTGTGAAGGAATAAGTCATGACATCAGATGCAGTAAGGGTTTTTGAAGAAGTTTAAGTCAGGTTTATGAGACACTGGTGGTTCAGTGGTAGAATTCGCACCTGCCATTCTGGAGACCCAGGTTCAATTCCTGGCCAATGCATGGGTTCGATTTCGGCCAATGTGCCTCATGTGCAGCCACCACCCGTCTGTCAGTGGAGGCTTGCATGTTGCTATGATGCTGAGCAGGTTTCAATGGAGCTTCCAGGCTAAGATGGACTAAAAAGAAAGCCCTGGCAATCTACTTCTGAAAAATCAGCCAATGAAAACCCTATGGATCACAACAATTCGATCTGAAACCCATCATGAGGATGGCACAAGATCGGTAGTGTTTCATTCCGTTGTGCGTGGGGCCACCACGATTCAGGGCCAACTTAAGGGCAAATAACAACAACAACAGCTCAGCTTTGGGAAAGCAGTATATTGTAACTTCTTGACTCTGGAAACAACCAAACCAAAACCCAAACTCGTTGTCCTCATGTCGATTCCTACTCATAGCAACCCTATAGGACAGAGTAGAACTGCCCCATAGGGTTTCTCTAGGAACAACAGACCTGTATGAAAACACTTACCAGCTGTGTGACCTTGCGTAAAGTACATTACCTCTTACAGCCTTAGTTTCCTTACCTCTCAAATGAGGATAATAACCCCCCCACCCCAGGTTGTTATGAGGATTAAATGAAATTCTACGTACAAAGCGTTTAGCATAATGGTCCCTGGCTGAGCACTTAATAAATGGTGGTGTTGTTGTTGCGTGCCGTAGAGTCCATTTCAGCTCATAGGGACCCCACGTGACACAGTAGAACTGCCCATAGGGTTTTTTTTTTTTTTTTTGGCTGTAATCTTTACAGAAGCAGATTGCCAGGTCTTTCTCTCCCAAAGCTGCTGGGTGGGTTCGAACTGACAAGCTTTAGGTTAGCAGCCAAACGCTTAACCATTTGCATCACCAGGGCTCCTCCAATAAATGGTAGTCTTTCAAAAAACTGTCAGCAGTGAGATGGACTGGAGTAACCTTTGGATTTAGCAATTACAGAGTTGTTATTAACCTTAGAGAAAGTAGCTTCAATAGCATGAAGGGCTGCAGAAGACTGAGGAGTGAACAGCATTTTGTTTTTGCATATCCTAAATCGTATCTTTTCTGTGTACGTGATGTACGATGACCAGGAGTGAGAATTTAATAGTATAACCCACAATTTATCCACAAATTCATAACTGCTGAATCTAAAGAGTTTATATTTATCACACATAATTCTAAGTTTTGGAACAGTTATACTTACCACAAAGTAACTGTTCTAAAACTTAGAATTATGCGTGATAAATATAAAGCAAACTGTTGCTTGAGAAAATGAGACTGGTGATCATGCTGAAGGGTGAGGAGCTGACCTGCAGAGGGATCAAATCTTAAGCTACACCTCCAATGAAGCTGAATAAGCAAGGATTTCACAGAAGTAAAGATTATTTTCTTAGTATGGCCCAGACTCAGAATTATATGGGGCTCAGTTCAGCTTTTAAAAATGATAGATTTATAGATCTCATAGGAGTTCAATATATGGACTTCAGAAGGCACATGACTCCCCTAAAATGACATGCAAAACTTTGTGTGTAATTTGAATATTTTTCCGGAAGAAGAGTCCATAGCTTCCACCATTTCTCAAAAGTGTCCACAACACAAAAATGTTTAGAACAACTGCACCAGGACAATGATCCCCCGACTATATATATGTATATGTATATATATATATATATATATACATATACATAAAGAATGTACAAAAGAGGTTTCAAAAGACTCATTTCAGTAATTTGTAGATACACTTTTATTTTAATACAATTTGATTAAGTTCACCTTGAATTTTTTTTTTTAAGGAGTTAGGGTATTTTGCAAGTTACAAAAGAGCGTTTATAATATTCATTCATTCAACAAATATTTATTAAGCAGCTACTACTTACCAGGCTCTGTTCTAGGCATTGAGGATACAGCAGCGTACACTAAACAAGGGGCACGGTGGACAAATCCCACCTTCATTGCTAATTTCGTGGTAAGGATCAGCATAAATTCATTTCTCACCTGGAAATGGATCCAGTCCTCACCTTCCCACTTCTCCATCCTCATTGTCAGCCACCCAAGCAGCACTCTGTTTCCAACCCCAGATGCCC